GAGTGTCTTGCTCCACTTCAGTCCAGCACTAATGCTTCTGCTAAGTTGTTTGGTTTTTTATGTTGTCTGTGTCGTGCGGTGAAATTCTTTTTCCCCTGGAATGCAAGCTGACACCGTGAAACTGCTGCTTGATAGTAGTGAGATGCAGGCTCTTTTGTGGGCAGAAATATTTGGTGTCCCATTACTAATCCCCAGAGCCATCTCAACACTTCCTGCAAAATTTTCGATTAATTCTGTGCCTTGATGGCTGTGGCTGTTGGGAAGTTAAGACTGGGAGGAAGTGCTCGTCTACTTTGGGGATTTTTTTGTGTTTTTTTTTTTAAACTGCACAGTATATTGCTCTTCAGAGACTGAGGAAGGTAATTTGGCGTTAAGTTTAGTAACAACTAAACCTACCCAGCAGACAGTGTCTGTGCAGGGATATATGCAAATAGAACTGAATTAATTTTTTTCCTTCCTTATGTTAAAGGAGAGCATAACTCCAAGGTCATGGCACATATTGGGGATGAAGATTTTACGGTGAGAATCAATACTGATGGAGAAGAGTACAATATTGAGGTATGCTTTACTGTTGAAAGCTATATTCAAACAATTGTCTTTTTCCCCTGTGGGTGTTTCTCGTTAGTCACATTGACATCTCGGTCGCTCAGAATAGTTTTGGCGGTGGTGGTTGTTTTGGGATGAGTAGGGAGAAGGGAAAGAAATGTGAAACCAATTTGGCTTTTGCAAGTGTTGAGTTTTTATTAGTGAGTGACATTCTCTTGACATCTGCGTGTTTTAGATACATCAGGGAGAAGGTATGTTTCAAACAGGAAAGGAGTTTAGAAACAGAAATGCTTGATGTGAGTAATTAGTGGTGATCATGTCCTCTAGAATAACAAACTGTGTGGCCTTCTGAGCAGAGTCGAGACCTGAGCTTTCTAAAATTTTGGCTTTGTTACATCTTGGAATTTTTGCAGTTTGTAGAGCTTTATTTGAAAATCTGGTATTTTCCCCCACTCCCTTGATTTTGTTTTTCACAATTTTCATTGCTTGTGTTATTTTAAACCATTGGTTTAAAAAACATGTTCAATAAATATGTAATTAGAGACTATCCTAATGAGTTGTTCAGTGCAGTAGATTCCCAGGCACAAGCTGCATTAGAATGGCTGAAGAGCAGTAATTATGGCTGCTATATGGATATGGTAATTATCTCCAAACCCAAGGATATGCAGAATTATGGGTAAATCTGGGAAATCCAGTCCTGTTAAAGTAAGAAAATGTGAATAGAATACCCAAACCACTGTATTTGTGTTTTACATTAAGAGCATATAGTAGCTCTTTGATTACGATTTAAAGCATTGTTGTGTTTGTGGCCCACAGTAATGTAAGCACAGCTCTGTTCTCCACGTGGCCAACTCCTTAGCTCCTCGGGCTGTGTCTGTACAGCAGAACAAAGGCAGGCAGCAGTGTGGAGGCTTTGGCTTGCACACCTGCCTAGCTGGTGGGGTCCAGGGGTCACCTCTGGCTGTGCCGGTGTGCAGTCAGAGGTGGCACGTGCTGGAGACCATTTCCAAACGGCAGCACGGACAAAGCTGCTCCACCACTGCCTGCCTTTGCTGTCATGCTCCTCCTGGGCTGTTTGAAAAGGCTGCAGACCTTCCTACAGACCCCTGGCACCGTCAGACCTTACCCTAGGCCTGCCCTCGGTTTTGCACTGCAGGCGTGGCTGCCGGCCTGGCACAGCTTTCCCATTTCAGGAAAGAGCAATACAGGGGATAATAGCTGTCCAATGGGCAGAGGAGACCCAAAGCCAGGTGCTCTGCATTGTGGATATGGGCAGTCTGTGTTACTCGGCCTTGCCCAAAGAACAGACCCTGTATGTGCTGGATTTTGCAGTGTAGCTGTAGCTGTGATGTATAGATAACAGTAGAGATGTGTTGATAAAAAAAAAGATGGTTAGAGTGCACCTGCTGTGGGAATTAGTGCCTTACGTTGAGATTTCATGGTTTTCTTTGGTTTCAGAGAAATTTTCCTGCTTTTAAGGGACTTTGGTAGCTGGTGAACATTGAAGAGCCTGCCTTCTGCTGTGCAGACTGTGTTCTGCTGTGCACTTACTCTCTGTTAGCTGGTCCTTGTGTTAGTCTGCACAGCTTACGCATTCCTCCCTGGCTCTGCCAGTCTCCATACACTGTTACACGAGGAGCAGAGAAGTCTGGGATGCCTCCTCAGCTTGCTTACACTCTACAGCCTTGTGGGGCGGGTGCTGCTGCTCTTTTGAGATGGTCTTAGACTTTTGGATGTCTGTGTAGCACGAAATAGTTGAATTCCTTCAGCTTTCTTGAGGACGTTGGTTTTGTCAGTGGGGTTATTGTTCTGAGTAAAATTATCATAGTCCAATGCATTTTTGTGTATGTACACACAAAGCTGTGGGGATTTGGTGGCACATACATACAGTTTTTTTGCTCATACAGACTTAGTCTTTGCATTCACTATATTCCTAACTAATTGCATTTTGGTTGTTCTTATCCTGTCAGCCACTGTGGCGATTTGTAGACAATGTGCAAGATGAAAGATTGCTGGTCTACAGATCTGAAGACATTAAAGATTTCTCAAGATTGCAGTCCCCCAAAGTGTGTGGTTATTTAAAGCTTAATGAAGAAGAACTGTTGCCAAAAGGGCTGGAAGACAGGGAGCAAAATGAAGGTGAGTGTCTGCACCTTGGGAGAGCAGCATCTTTGAAACAATTACTTGAATTCTTTCTGTGTCAGCAAATAAGATCAGAAACTGGGCAATAATCTATGTTACTGCTTCTAGTTTAACTATTAGCTCTTTAAATTCATTGGGAGGAAGAAAGCGGGACTCTTCCTCGTGCCCATTCCCCATCCAGAAAAACCCCAACAGCTGTCACTCAGGGCACCCAAGCATAGGTGAAGGAGAGGATGCTATAAGGAATCCACCTTGAGCTGTGATGGACTTTTTGAGAGTTTTTGGTCTGTCTTTCCTCTGTCCTTTGCTGTGTCAGCAGAGGTTGTGGTAATGACTAGGAGGAGAGGTGTTAAGGCTGAGGTGATGACCCTAAAAGCTCTATAGGTAAATCTGTCAGATAACTCAGTTTCACTGCTATACATTCCTTCCCTCACACAACAAGTTTGAGGGCTGTCATGGACAAAATTTAAGAATAGTTATTAAAAAAAAATCAAAACAAACCCCAAACTAAACATCCCCTTTTTCCCCAGCCAAAAACCCCACCCAAACTCACATTCATGTCTTAAGTATAATAGGCACAGCAGTGGCAATTTTACTGAGTGATTATTTAATTGTGTTTATTATGTTCACCTTAGCAAACATCCATCGGAAGAAAAGAGCCGTTCCAGAGAGCTCCAAAAACACGTGCAAGATGTTGGTAGTGGCAGATCATCGTTTCTTCAAATATATGGGCCGTGGTGAAGAGAGTACCACTATAAACTATTTGGTAAGTAAATATATTCTGTTACAATTTGCTGGAATAAATGCAGGGAGAAATAGTGATTCAGTAGTTAAACCAATATACACCCTACGCTGCTTTTGTACGATATCATGTGTTTACATCTCATTGTTGTGTCTGCTTTTCACCTGGGAAAGTGCTAAATCATGCTTAAAAAATATTTTATAATGGGGTGATACTCTAGTTAAATAGCCTTCAGGCTTCACTTTAAACAGATCCCTTCCCTTCACGTACTTCTTGTGGCTATGCTATTTTCTGCCTGAGAAATTTTCTTTTTCCAGTCAGAGCTTTAGAAACTCCTGGATTTTGAAATCCACTGCAAACAACCCAAGTATCTTTGAAGTTCAAGCATGTTTAGAGCTCATATGAGAAGCAAAAGCAACTTGCATAGACTTTTGTTTATTTTTTAACCCAAAAAATTCTTCCAGGATCCTTTGTCCAGAACAATAAAATTCAAATCAGATGTGGTAAACGTTGTTTTGTGGTACATTGGTATTGTGGTTTGACCCCAGCAGGCAGCTCAGCCCCACTCAGCCGCTCGCTTGCTCCTCCCCAGTGAGCTGGAGGAGAGAGTTGGAAAGGTAAAGGTGAGACAACTCATGGGCTGAGAAGAAAGAGTTCAGTAGGTAAAGCAAAAACTATGTACACAAGCAAAGCGAAATAAGGAATTGATTCACTGCTTCCCATCAGCAGGCAGGTGTTCTGCTGCACTCAGGAGAGAAGGGCTCCATCCTGTGTGCTTGTTACCGAGTAAGCCAGCCAAAACCAGTACAAGGGGGTTGTCTTCCTGACAAGTTTTGTGAAGTAAGTGGAGAATATGGATCTAGGGACTGGAGATAATAACAAATGAAACCAGTTTTGGAGGTCTGTTGTTTGTCCAGAGTCCCTTTGCAATGCTAATCACTCTGTTCCACCTTTGCTGCCTTTTTGACCTTTCTGTCCCCAGAAATGTTCACATTCCCCAACTGACAGAAGCCTCAATTCCCATGTTTGCAGAGACGCCGTTATCTCAGCATCTCTCCCATGCTAAGGCTGTCCCGCTGGGGTGTTCCCTGAGTGCTGTAAACACACAGTGATTGGAAAACTAAAGCATGAGCTATGACAGAGTGGCTCCGAATGCCACTTTTCATTCTGAGCAAGTCTGATGGTTTATATTTAGTAGAAGGTGTTTTTTTGAGAAGATGAGAACCGCTTGAGAAGGAAGGTGTTGATAGTGATCACTGAAGAGAAATTTTCTGGAACCTTGTGCTTGAACCATGATGAGGAAAGGAGTAAGATTTTTGAGTGGGAGAGGGAAGCAGGCCTCAGGGGTCAGAATCATGCTGAATAAAACAAAGCAGTGAAAACAACTCCCCCTTCTGCCTTCCCCTTGAAGAAACATGAAAAACTAGTATATGAATAAAGTGTGTCCCAGAATTTCTTGTTCTTAGTATTATCACTTTTCCACTACACAACTAAATGTGATAAGAGGGAAGGTCTCTATTGCTTTTTTATGATGGAAACGTTTCAGGGATGTGTTGATGGTCATGGTAGTGCTGGGTTGATGGTTTGACTGGATAATCTTAGAGGTCTTTCCAACCTTAATGATTCTACATTTCTGTGATAACCCTCTCTGGATCCAAGTGCTGTTGTTGGATCACTGAGTATGTCTACTAGGTTATATGAGGTTCAATTTTAATTTGAAGTGAGTGTTTCTAGGTAAGTATGTTGCAGCTTCTCTGAGTGTCTTGAACTTTTATTACATGCAAGCTCGGAACTAAATAACTTGTTTTTCTTTTCTACACAGATTGAGTTGATAGACAGAGTAGATGACATATACCGAAATACTTCCTGGGACGACGGAGCCTTCAATGGGTACGGCATACAGATAGAGCAGGTATTCACCAAACTGTGCAAAGGCATTCTAATTTAAAGGAGAACAGCATGTTTTGGATGTCAGGGCTTCTGATTATTTTATCTGGATTAGAGCTAAAATAATCAAATCCTACTTCATTAACTCCAGCCAGGAGCACTTTGAAATAGCATCTCACCAGTGGTGGTGGCAGTGATCTGACACAGCATGTCCGTTTTCAGTTCTTGCAACTGAAAGAGATTTTCAGGGAGACAAGAGTTTTCAGGGAGACTCTTCCCATATTTAATCTCAATTCAAAGGTGCTTCTTTTTTCCTGACGAGGAGAGATTCTTGTTTCTGTCAGACATACTTGCACATATATTTGATGTTTGTGACTGTGGATAGTGCTTAGCTTACAAAGCCTGAATGGGCCTCAAACACTTGAAAAAAACCATAAATCCTGATTCGAGACATGATGGGGTAGAGGCTGGTATGGGGTAGACACAGGGGGTGTAGTGACTACAATTGATGTGTTGGTTCCTGAATGTTAGCACACAGAAATTTAGCAAAAGACGTTGAAAAGAACAGAAATCCGTTGGCTCAGAGTGCTGCAAGAGCTGTGATGTGGAACGTGGGGAGTCGTGGTACAAGGTGGCTGCCCCTTTGCTGGGGTAAGGCCTGCAGGAACGAGGAAGGAGAGTTAATTGGGCAGGAAAGGGGAGAGCACGATGGACAAATAGTAGGTTACTGGGATAGTAGCAGTTCTTTAAAATCTGTTTTGGTTAGCTAGTACTCTGAAATGGTTCAGGGTTATTTATACATAAATCCTGGTTGTATTGGAGTGGGGATTTTTGATAGAACAGAAAACGGTTGTCGTTGCTCTATAAAGTTGCCTATGGAGTTGGTGTAACTAGCAGAGGCTGAAAAGTTCATATTGGAAGGATGCTGAGTCTGAATTTTTTTTCCTTGCAGATCTATTGAGATATTTAAGATTACATTGAAAGCTTTTCTGTAGCTATAAAATTGACCAAAAATTCCTCTACATTGTTGTTGCCCTCTTTGAAATGTAGATTATCATCCACAACGAGCCACATCTTGTAAAACCCGGCGAAAAGCATTACAACATGGCAAAAAGTTACCCGGATGATAAGAAAGATGCCTGGGATGTGAAAATGCTGCTAGAGGTAGGTTGTAACCCTTGAAAAATTGTGCCCTTTCCGGAGGATTATTCTTACAGGTGCTCTGTAGTAACAGAGGAAACTTCTCGACTTCCTCTGTGTGACATGTAGATATTACCCAAAGTCAAGCGAGCTGATGTGCCCTGTAGCCCGTGGTAAAGGGCTCCGTTGTATAATTAGAGAGCACACAGCAATTAGAGTTATTAATATGTGGCCTGAGTCAGAGCGGCAGCCTCGGTGTGTCTGGGCCTGAGCTTGGCTGCCCCGTGACCTTCGTAAAATTGTTGTACTTGGTTTTTCCCTGTTTGTGAAAAGGGGAAATGAATACACAAGTTATGTAAATGAGTATGTACAGTGTACTTAGGTGTTTATTCGGTTTTCTACAGCTCTGTAGGACAGCTAAATAGCTGCTTATTTTCTGACTTAACCAGATCTAGAAGGTCCCCGTCTGGCTCATTAGATAAATGTTCTTATCTATAGACTTCTAATGTGCACAGTACAATGTCTTACAAAGATTTGATTTTTTTTTTCTTTAAAGCAATTTAGCTTTGATATTGCTGAGAAAGCAGCTCACGTGTGCCTTGCTCATCTCTTCACATATCAAGATTTTGACATGGGAACGCTTGGATTGGCTTACGTTGGCTCTCCCAGACCTAACAGCCATGGTGGCATTTGTCCTAAAGGCAAGGCTTCCTTTTCTTTCCTCCTAACTGTGGGTTCAGAGCTCTTTTTTTTATTATTTGTATTTAATCCTCTTTTCTAACTTTGAAGGAGCGTGACGTCTTATTTGCATAGACTCTGGTGGTTGTTCTTTGGATAGAGTAGATGATTATTTTCTTGACTGGAGCTGGGAAAAGAAGGGAAGGAGGGATAAAAGCCACTGAGTTATCTGGAGCGAACAGGCCGTCTGAAGGCCACTGCAGTCTGGCTCGACCAGCGGCTGCTTTGTGCATCTTGCAGCAGTTCTGGAATGGCAGATGCTGCTCACATGGAAATTTCCCGCCTTTACTGAGCTATTTGTGCTGTGCTTGAAAGATTCCCCACTCCAAAAACTGGCAAGAAGCCGGGTCCTCCGGGTGAGCCTGTGAGAACAGTGAAGTTCATTTCCCCAAACAAGGATCCCTCTCCCCTCTAAAGCCCCCAAAAATGATTGTCAATTTTTTTTTTATTCCTCACTTCTGTAGCTTATTACAGTCAAACTGCAAAGAAGGACATCTTTCTGAACAGCGGCTTAACGAGCACCAAGAACTACGGGAAGACCATCCTCACAAAGGTAGGAGAGTCTCCTCTGTGGAGCCTCAGTGCTCTGTGTGCGTATGTGTGTGGTGGTGATGTGCACTCTGGGGGTGTGAGAAGCTTCCATGCTGTATCAAGAACAAGTTAGTGCTTGAGTTGGATCCCTGGTGGTGAGGATGTAGATTACAAAACCAAAATCATCATTTTTGTCCTTGCTGGCAAGGGGAGTAAGGACTGAATGGAATTGAAGATTGGATTCACTGTGGAACAGAAATGAGGAAACACAGGTCATGTCTAATAGGAGCTGTAATTGTTCAGATATAAGCAGGATTTTGGTACCTAAAGATGAATTAAAATGTATTTTCCTTTAAACATAATAATAATAATAATAAATAATGAACACAAAAAAACCTAGCAAACAAAATCAAAACCAAACCCTCCAACAGAACAAGCAGAATTATACAAGTGGCCTTACAGTAAGAATAAAATCAGCCTGCTGACTTAAATAAGAGAAGACTTTAGTGTTTGCTGTTGTGTACACCTGCACCATGCAGGTGAGGTTGGTGGTTGCAGGCGCTCAGTCTGTTCCGTTTGCAAGGCAGAGCGGTGAAAGTAGGAGGTTTGATTTGGGCCTTTTGAATGAAATTCCTCTACCTGATTTTTGAGTGTGTCCTGAATAAGGAGAGCAGAAAACAGCGTAACAAACAGACAGGGCTTATTCGTGCGAGTACTCAGCCTAACGTAAACTGATGCTGTCTGGATTTTTTTTTTGTCATACGTGATGAAGTAGTAAATACATAAAGGTCTGAATCTGAGCTTTGTCTCACTTGTAAAGATACCAGCACAGTGCCTGTGTTTGCATCTACCAAATCTTTGCAGTCGGGCATATTTCTCTGTTGCTGACTTCTGCCAGCTTCTTGGCTCTGCTTTTCTGTAGCCTGATTATAAAGGGAATTCATAATTGATGTGTGGGCTAGAACTTGGCACAGAAGCTGTCAAGAAGCTAGGGGAAAACAGTGAAGCTTTTTGTTAGGGAGATGTTAACAAAGAGCTCTAGCTGTTGCCGTGCTATTTGCATTTGTTGTTCAGTCTCCAAGCTGGAGTTCTGCCTTGGATTACAAATGAAATTGAGTTTTCTGTCTTCCTAGCAGCCGTCACAAAGCTTGGAATGAGGCAGCGGGAGCGTTACGGATTAGTTTCACAGGGAGAGTATTGTATGGTGTCAGCTTGGGTTTTGAAAGACAAAAAAAATATTCTTGAAACCCTTCCCCCAGTTAAATGTGGTGAGGTATGGGAGTGATCTCTGGAGAGCTCTCCTGTCTCTGGCTCTCACGTGAACTGTGCCTGCGCTTGGTACTGATCCTGCGCGTCGCAGCGCTTGCTCCTTCCTCTGCCTGCACAGCGGCAGAAATCATTGTTAGCTCGTCAAACTCTCTCTCTCTCTCATATTAGAATCATAGAATTGTCAGGGTTGGA